AATCGTCCTTTACTAGCTACTGATAGTGTTTTAAAGCAAAATATTTTCAATCACAGCATTGGTAGTGTCGAATTCACAAATTATGAATTACTGAAAAATAGGGATTAAACTAAATAGCGGCGCATGTTGCGTCGTGGGTCAACTCGTATGATATAAAAAGCCAGAAAATGAGAAAGGAATCGTGAAAAGTAAAGCCTACTTTAATTTGAAAATATAGACCTACATCACGCAAATTAATATGGCAAATGAATTGTGTGTAAATAAACTAGTCATCGGAATACTTTGGTTTGTGTAATATTGTAAAGCTAATTTTTGTTAATTAAAAAAAAATGTAAACAAAAATTCTACCGATGCCGATAGTGGACATTAATATAAGTAGTGGGGGGGGGGGGCGTTTATTTCATGTGTATTGTGTTAAAAAATAATAAGCTGTATGTTAGGCATATTATCTATATATATAATTCTCCTCTTCGAGCCGTTAGAAAACAAGCTGCAAACGCTCTCCCTACCTCCCCACCCCTACATGGTTTTAGTGAGCTGTGTTCACTCTAAATGTTTACAAGCAGAGCCAACGATTTTAAACGTAGGGGGGGGGGGAAGGAAGGGGGGGGGGGTTATGGTCCTTAACGAGCTACTTATAGTGTTTTAAAGAAATATTTTCAGTGTCAGCGTTGGTACTGTCGAATTCACAAATTATGAATTATTGAAAATTAGAAACAACTAAATAGCGGCGTATGTTATGCCGCGGGCCGGCTCGTTATTAATATTAAATGTAATTAATGGTTTCTGTAACCCTTTATCTACTGACGGTACTTATAAGTACCACTTTAATTAAGTGCCTGTATTATATTAAATTACATACGAATTTTAAAAATTATTGATGTATTTTATAGTATTATCTCCCCCGAGTCGCCAGTAGTCGGAGGTATCAATGTTTTTAAAAAAATTAATGGTGTGGCGCTTTTTCAATGTCTTGCTATATCGGTAGTTCACAATTTTTCTGTACATTTCACACACCCGTTCCTGATTTCCTTTTGTTTTACCTTATTTTTCAAGTTTTCAACCCCAAATATTTTTTATTGGCACATTCAATAGTCAGGCAAACGCGTTTAACTTCTAGTTATACAATTTTAATCAAATTGTCTTTATATTAGATCGATGTTTACAAGTGGACTTATAAGTACCGTCAGGGCACACGGTCATTTTTTTAGGATTTTTAGAAAATTGCAGATTTGTTAGGTGGAGTTACATAAATATTGTCTTGATAATTACTTATCGAAATGTACTCAAAAAATGATATTTACACATTTATAAGAAGGTTTGCATATGGTTTACCTAAGAAATATTGTAATTACATGTTCATTTCTAGTAGTAAAAAAATAACAAGAATAAAGGTATCAGTTGCAGGCTCGTTTATAAGGTTTAGTATACTTCATTTGTATACCAAAGCCTAGTTCAGGTTGTAAGATTTAATTTGTTAGTTATATTTACTGCAATGAACTGTCTTGCCTACAACAACTAGCATTTACATAATGTATACCTGTAGACTAGTAATAGTCCATACTTCTGCATATAGTATAGATCTATAAGGTAAATTTAAATCAGTAAGCAGAAAAGAGTAATCCACTACTTCTTCCAAAACACATTGAGCTCACTTCTATTTATGAACTTTGCACTGTAGTGTAGACTTGTCATAACATTATAGTAGGCTACAATTATATTAGTATTTCTAGTAGTTGTGTGCTGAATGACTAGGCTTTTGTTTGTTTATGCGGCTCATTGTACTAGTTATTGGAAGCTTCCAGCAAAAGCATATTCATTCCGGCAACTGTTGCAACACTAGAAAGACCAAAGACAAGATTGAGGGAGCATGACATGTCGACTACTTTTGCTGTGTTTGAGGTCTAAGATGTGTTCCGATAGAAAATCCAGTAAAAATCGTACTCAAAATATACTTTTGTGCTGTATTTATGTGTGAAAATTACAAAAAAGTGATTGTTATAATGATTGCCATGTTATTAGTTAATAAATTGTATCGTTTGTTCCTGTTTTGTAAAAAAAAAATTTTTGAAAAAAAATGTCCTAGTTTACTGACGGTACTTATAAGTACCAATATCTGTTTGGGCCATTAAAAATTTATGAAACGAAATTTCCTTCGATATATGCTTTGAATGTGCCAAAAGCAATATAGTAACACATTGTTTAAGTAAAAATCTCATTCAGAACATAATTCCGTAAATAAAGGGTTAAAAATGTCTCCCGTGGGGGGGGGGGGGATGGTTAAACTCTATTCAAGCATACTCTTATACTTTCAATTTAAACTATCAATTACGCCCGTGGAGGCTGGAGGGAGATGATGCCAGAAAGAAGAAACTACATAGTTAGGCAATGGTAGGGTGATGTAGAATTAAATAGTTTCAATATAGCCTGCAACATTATTGAAGTGGATTGTCATGACTGACGAGAAGCCGCGTTGGTTGTTAACAGTCTTTATTATGTACAGACGCCATCATGCAAAGAGAGAGAGAGAAGTGGCGAGAGAGAACTATATATAGATAACAACATGTAAGGGACATCACTCAAGATAACAATATAAATATAATACTAATACAGAGAGCGAGTTCCCTTGACCTCACAATTATTTCAATCTATTACATCCCTTTACCCTTAGAACACAATAACACATCTCTCAATAGAACAATTGATAGTATCCTAAAATCACCAATTATATTGTGACATGAACATTATGGTAGATTACATCCTTACAAACAATGCACAATATGCCACAACATAATCAAAATACAAAACAATAATGTCAAAGTCCTTTTGACCTTTAGAATCATAGGTCTAACTTATTTGGGACCTTGATTGTCCTGCTTGACCTTCTCAGTGGCTTTTGATTTGGTGACTCAAGATTCTGACCATCTGGATTCTCTATCTCAGGAGGTCTAGGATTTAAATCATTAACTCCAGAATTTACATTTTCTGACTCCAGACAACTTGGTTCACTCATATCAACAGAACTTGGTTGTGGAACAAACTGAGTTGGTGTCAACTGATCAGACTTGGTGGGATTGACAGATTCACACTTATTATCTGCACAAGTTATTTTTAACTTTATAAGACACAGGTCCTGTACATTGAACAATTTGACCTGGTATCCATTTTTCCTTTCTCCCATAATTTCTTAGATACACATTCTTATTAACACCAAATTCTCTTTCAATGGGTGTTCTGTCATGATTGACTTTTTGAATTGGCATCTGAAAGTATTAAATGGCAAAAATCTTTTTCTCTTTTCTTTTGATGTTACCCTTTTAGTTTCTGTAAGTGCTAATGATGTTAGCAAAGTTGTTTGATGATCACATTCCTTCTTACTAATGTATTTTCTTTAAAACATTTGAAATTGCCATATCACCATAATCATTTATTAAGTTACAAATACTTTGTTTAGGTAACTCTGACTGATAATGGACTGTATCTTCTCCATCTTTTATATTATCTTCACAAAGGTTTTTATTTCTTATTTAATATGGCCTTAAGTCATCATTCACAGACTCTTCAGGCCAACCATTCTTACAGTACTCATATACTTTTATTAAGCACTCATCTTTTTGTGTTTCTCTTTTAATATCATTCACATTTATATTGGAGTTATCCATGATAGTGAAGAGAACAAATACATCTTCTGGTACATAGCTCAGGCTTTGGTTTTTTAAAGGTAATCTACTCAGACTATCTGCACTATTCTCAGATCCAGGTTTGTATTTCAATTCATAATTGTATGCAGTTAGTGTGATAGCCCATCTTTGAATTCTTGGTGAGGCATGCTCAGGTAGGGTTTTGTTTTCTCCAAATAAACCTAGCAATGGTTTATGATCTGTAAAGATGGTGAACTTCCTACCAAACAGAAACTTATGAAATTTCTTAACACCAAAAATGATGCCTAAGCCTTCCCTATCTAACTGAGAATAATTTTTCTCAGCCTGGTTCAAAGATCTACTGGCAAAAGCAATGGGTCTGTCACCCTTCTCATCCATGTGGGACAAGACTGCTCTTACACCATCTGGTGAAGCATCACATGTTAATATAAGTCTTTTCCCTGGGTCATAGTGAGTTAGTAAGGTGTCAGCAGACAAAGCCTCTTTTGCTGTATTAAAAGCAGCTTCTTGTTGTTTACCCCAGTGCCAAGTTGCATTTTTCTGTAGCAGCTTGTACAGTGGTGATAGTTTACCAGACAGATTCCCTATGAGCTTTGCATAGTAATTTATCAAGCCCAAAAAAGCTCTTAGTTGTTGGGTATTTTCAGGTTTGGGTGCTTCTTTAATGGCTTTTGTTTTCTCAGGTTGAGGTCTGATGCCTTGTTTGCTCAATATATAACCAAGAAAACTAATTTCTGTCAGCATGAATTGACATTTATCTTTGTTTATCTTTAAACCTTTTTCACCAACAATTTTCAAGACTTTATCTAGTGTTTTAAGATGTTCAGTGTCATTCTTACCAGTTATGTACACATTGTCAAAGTACACACAAACATTTGGAATGTCCTTAAAAATACTGTCCATGACAGCTTGGAAAATTCCAGGGCTAGATGATATGCCAAAACATAGTCTTTCATATTGGTAGAGTCCTTTATGTGTGTTTATTGTCGTATAGACTTTTGAATCTGGATGCAGTTCTAGTTGAGTGTAAGCATGACTAAAGTCTAATTCAGTGAATTTGTCTCCTCCTGCCAAATTCAAAGAAATTTCCTCAATGTTAGGTATAGGGTACCTATTTAGCTCTATTTGCTTATTCAGTGTAGTTTTATAATCTCCACAAATTCTTATAGAACCATCCTTCTTTAACACTGGCACAATGGGCGTCGCCCAATCGGAATAGTCTACCTTCTTTATAATGCCATTAGATTCTAATCTGCTTAGCTCATTTTCAATTTTATTCCTCATTGCATAAGGTGGAACTCTAGCTTTGCAGTATCTTGGATTTGTGTCTTTAATGCTTATCTTCACTGTTCTATCATTTAGTAATCCTGAATTACCAAAAACACATTTATTTTCAGATATAACTTTATCTAGTGAAGTAAGACTAGATTCTTTTACATTCTTCAATGAACAAATACTCTCCCAATTTAACTTAAGATCACTTAACCAGTTCCTACCTAGTAATGGCGGTCCATTTCCTTCAACCACAAGAAGAGGAAGTTTAACACTTTGACCATTATAACTTACATGAACCATACACTCTCCTATTACCGGAACATTGTCACCAGTGTATGTTGTTAGACACTTGTGACATGGCTGTAGAGACACTGATCCTCCTGTGACAGCGTCAAAATCTTTCTTTGTGATGACTGTTAGTGATGCTCCAGTGTCAAGTTGGAAGCTGATGCTCTTACCGTTGATATTAACTTGTACATTGATGGGAGCATGACTTATTGATTTCACAGAGAACGGGTTGAAATCCGGCTGCGAATCAGTTTGAGCATTTTCACAGGTAGAGTGGTTCATTGGTTGGGTTAGGTAGTCTTGGTGAGAGTTAACATAGTGCTGCCTTTGGTTGCGGTACTGTCTTGACTGGCTAGATTTAGCAACAGACGAAGACTTTGCAAAGCAGGCCTTGGCAATGTGACCTTGCTTACTGCACTTATAACAAGTTGCTAACTTGAACTTGCACCGATGAGATGCATGGGGACCTTTGCATCGATGACATTTTTGATAATTATTACTAGATTTAGATCTAGGATTTGAACGAGCAGGCTGTTTAGCATAAGTTGGAATGCTCTGATGGGGTTGATGTTTATTGACTAACCTGCTGTTTACTGCATGGATCTCTGAAGGCGTTAGAGATTTCGCCGCATCTGATGACTGCTGGTATGAAGTTGCAAGTTGTATTGCTTTTTCCAATTTTAGATCTGACTCGAGCAGCAACTTTCTTTGAATATCAGGGCTGTTTACACCTGTCACAAACTTTTCACATAGTCTGTCAGACAGCGTATCGCCGAATTCACAAAATCTACTTAAATGACGTAAAGCAGCAACATATTCTGATATTGACTCGTTTGGTTGACGAGTCCTACTGTCAAATCTAGCTCGACATAGAAACTTTGATGGGGTAGGCGCATGGTGGTCTGTTAGCAATTTGCTCAGCTCGTTAAAGCTCTTGGTATCTGGACTAGCTGGTGCGCATAAGTCCTTTAGTAGCCTGAATTGTTGAGGCCCTATGACTGTTAACAAAACAGCTCTCTTTTTGGCTTCTATCGTCACGTCGTTAGCTTCTAGGTAAAAGCTTAACCTCTCTAGGTAATCTTGAATGATTTCATCATTCGCATCAAATTCTTTTATTTGGCCATACAGCGCCATAATTCTAGAAATAATTAGCTAATAAGCTCTAGCAAACCTCTTTTTTTGCGTAAGTAGGTGCTCTTTCTAGTGGATGTTTATCCTTCGTCGCCAAATGACGTAGATTGTAATGACTGACGAGAAGCCGCGTTGGTTGTTAACAGTCTTTATTATGTACAGACGCCATCATGCAAAGAGAGAGAGAGAAGTGGCGAGAGAGAACTATATATAGATAACAACATGTAAGGGACATCACTCAAGATAACAATATAAATATAATACTAATACAGAGAGTGAGTTCCCTTGACCTCACAATTATTTCAATCTATTACAATTATTGAAACTTTAATCCTATATTTTATTTTTTATAGTATAGGGATAGAGGGCCTAGAGGTCTAAATCTAGCTAGAAAGGCGAAAGAAGGTAGTTAACTCAGTAATTTTTTTTTAGAAAATCATTTGCATCGGAGGTTGGAAGAGAGTTCTCGATTTATAAACATTCGCGGTATTTCTACTAGACTAGGCCTAATCAACTAATCATACATAGAAATCTAGATCTAGGCCTACTCACTAAACTACAGTCTACAGAGTACAGAAGGATCGTTCGATTTTATTCAAATAGAATCACTAAAAATGTTAACCAGTTCATAAATAATATCTAGATAAATAAATAAACGCTTCTTAAGATTTATTTTATTTAATTTAACCCCCCCCAAAAAAACATCATCTCGCAGTAAAAAACTAAATAATAACTAGATTACTATTTTCTAGATCTACTAACTAAACTAGCTATTAAAGTATTAGATCTAGATCTAGAATCTAGTAGGCCTATTATAATTAACGAACCGGCCCGCGGCATAACATACGCCGCTATTTAATTTAGTTGTTGTTTTTTCTACTTTTCAGTAATTCATAATTTCAATTTGTGAATTCCACGCTACCAACGCTGCCACTGAAAATATTTCTTTAAAACACTTTAAGTAGCACGTTAAGGACCATAACCCCTCCTCTCCCCCTCCTCCCCCCCCCCCCCCCCACACGTTTAAAATCGTTTCAAACTAAATTATCTGCCCCTAATAGTCGTCACTAAACCCGGCTCTGCTTGTAAACATATAGAGTGAACACAGCTCACTAAGACCATGTAGGGGTGGGGGTGGTAGGGAGCGCATTTACAGCTTGTTTTCTAGCGTCTCCCAGAAGAGAATTATATAATACGAGCCGACCCGCTGCGTATCATACGCCGCTATTTAGTTGGGTTTTTTTCTACTTTTCAGTAATTTATAATTTGTGAATTCGACATTACCAATGCTGCCACTGAAAATATTTGCTTAAAAACACTAAACCCCCCTTCCCCCCCCCCCCCCCCCCCCCCACGTGAAAGCAGCCTCTTAGTTACCTCCTCTAAGTTTAAAATCGTTTCAAACTAGATTATCTGCCCCTAATAGCCGTCACCAAACCCGTCTCTATGATTGTAAAATGTAAACAGCGTGAACCACAGCTCACCAGACCATATGAGGGGGTGGGGTGGGGGGGTGGTAGCGATAGAGAGAAAGAGAGGGGACTGTAAGGCGCACTTGCAGCTTGTTTTCTAACGGCTCCCAGAAGAGAATTATATATATAGATATATACAGAAGATTAAATAGGCCTGGAGATCTAGGCGAGATCTAGATCTAGAAAAGTTTTACAAGCAGTAAAATATACTAGTATTATTTATACTAATTAGATTACAGCTGGTAACTCAACAATGCTCAATTTTGAAATATTAATTTACTTTTTGAATACAGACACCTTAATTTTTTAAATTTAAGTAGCTTATATAAATATATTAATATTTTTCTGTAAAGAAGTTAATTTTCTACAAGCAATGCCATAATTACTCACTGTTACACTTACAGCCCCATCAAAAAAAAAGTGACTAATAATGTTAAAAAGATTATAAAATATTTTAAATTTACAGTATGGATCAATCTAAATATGAATCAGACCGTAGCAAGAATTGTCTGATAGAATCTTCTATAAGCGATCATGTCAAGAATGAGCCTTGCTGGTTGGGTATTGACGAGGCTGGGCGAGGTCCAGTATTAGGTAACTATCATAAACTATTATTAAATTTGTTTCAAGTGTTGTTTTTTTTATCTCTCAAAACATAAAACCACATAGAAGAGTCTATATTGTTTTGTACACATTGTAAATTATTGTTACTTTTAAAATTTCTAGGGCCTATGGTGTATGGAACCTGCTATAGCCCCATCTCTGATAAAGAACGATTCTCCGACTTAAAATTTGCTGGTAAAAGTTGTTTTCAACTTGTCTTTGTCTTTTATTGACAACATTAATTACATTAGTTAATTGGAGAAACTCATAGTTTATTTTGTCTTTTTTATCCATGACATTAGTTAGGTCAAACAGAGTAAATTTAGACCTATTTACCAATAGCACTAATTTTACTTGTTTTTACACAGATTCTAAAGTTTTATCAGAGGAACAACGAGAATCTATCTTCTCAAAAATGAATGAATCATTGGATATTTTAGGTTGGATGGTAGAAATTCTTTCTCCAGCATATATTTCTAAAAGTATGCTTAGAAGGTAATTTTTTTGCTTTTGATTATTATATATTTAGCAATAAAAAATTTCTTTACTTAAAACCAGCTCACTCTTCAACACATGCATTTTTTCTTGACATTGTTTAAAAATAATTAAAATTTGCAAATACTCATTTGTAAGGATGACATTTGTTTTGTGGATGAGACAATGTTCACAGTTTTATTTCTTTGTTCCAGGGATAAATAATTAAATATAACCTTAATGCACTCTCCCATGACTGTGCTATTGGATTAATAAAAAGAGTTCTTGAACGAGGTGTTAATGTTACTGAGGTAATATAAATTTTGAGTCAGATACTGAATTACTTGTCATACTTATATCTAAATATCACTGATCCTCCATTGAAATCATTATCTTTGTCTTAGGTTTATGTAGATACAGTAGGTGATCCTACTAAATACCAAACCAAGTTGAAAGAAATTTTCCCCAACATTGATGTAACAGTGAGCAAGAAAGCTGATTCTCTATTTCCTATTGTTAGTGCTGCTAGTATATGTGCCAAGGTAAGTTGTTTTTTTTTTTAAAAATAGAATATCAAGAACAGATGAGAAAAATGATCCATTACCTCATTGACAACACTATCTATATACTACTAAAAGTCAAGTTTGTTTACATGTTTGAATATTTATTTGTTTGCCTGATCGACTATCTCGCATGGTTGCACTCATCGTGGAAAGCTGTAAAATAGTATGTAGGTAGAGAAAAAATTTTGTTTTAAGACAGACTGTTAATCACAAATTTATTTAAAGACGTTAATTAATTTATTGATTTATTCATAGTTATATTAACCGTATTTTTTTTTAAATGTTAATACCATGAATAAACTTTGTGGGGATAGTGACGTCCCTTGATGTGTTTACATTTTTGGTACAATAAAAATGGCGGACTCCATCATAGACTTTGTGGCCCATTCAAAAGTTTAACGCGTTACAAAGCTAATTTTCTGCCGGCTATAACTTAAACAATACGTCCGTTTGCTGTATTTATTACGTTCCAACACTTATATCAATTTTCAACTGTCTTTTTCATTTAGTTTTACGATAAATTTCTCTAGATCTAAAGATCAGCTGTCGAGAATCTAGCCTAGGGCCTAGGCTAGGGCCTAGATTCTAGATCTAGAATCTAAATCTAGGTCTAGGTCACTAGACTCAATGTAAATTCTAGATCTAGAATCTATTTCGGGCCTTAATTATTTTATATAAATCTTTGTTTAGCTTCAATGATCATCTAATTCGAGAATACATGGGATTTTTTTGTTATCTAGGTTTTATATCTAGATATAGTAGGATTACTCACTAACTTGGAGGCGTGGTCGGCTGCTAACAACAATATGGCGTACGGACCGGACGAATGACTTCGACCATTTTTAGGCCATGTTTACCACGAGCAAAATGGCGGGTGTTCACATTATTTAAACATGGTATAGGTGGCCAGGGCTAGATATGCCAGAAAAAGCATTTTAAAATTTGCTTTGGAGAATGAAGGCTAAATTTTAAAGCCAGTGTCATAAACATTAATAGAACTTTTTTTTTTTTACGTTTTCAATTATTTTTTCTTAAGCCCTATATGTGAATGATAAGGTTGACTATCAGGACCTCGCGGGGCACAGGGCACGTGAAGTAGGGTTCATCTGTTTCTTTGTCCTAAGCAAATGAAGGGATAGTGTGGTCAGAGACATGCTTGGCTGGAATCGTTTTTGTTGTCTGAGACTTGGCGGGACACTGGGCAGGTGAAGTAGAGTTGAGTAGGTCACCTGTGACGTCAATATATGAAGGGATAGTCCGAAATCGTTGTTTTCGGTGTTTTTAAAAGATAAAAAACATATTTTTGAATGTGGGGTCTGTTTTTTGTGACGATAAGTGACACTGCAGTAGCGTAGCGAGGAGGGGGGGGGGGGCAGGAGGGAAGGGGAGGCGGGGGGAGGTGGAGGGGGGTGGGGGGGACATATGTTGGGGCGCCAAAATGGTTTGGACAAATAAATTGAAAGGTTGAGGGGGGTTCAAATGGAAAGTTTGAGTGGGGGGGGGGGGGTGCACATCAAAAGTTTGAAGGGGGTGGGGGGGGGGGTTGAAAATCGAAATCTTGGGGGGGGGGTTCAAATCGAAAAGTTTGTCTATGCCTCTGAGTGACAGACGTGATGTTTTTTGATGGATGACCCCCGAAACCCACAGTTATCCAACGGATGACGGGTATTCTAGTTTTATATTTAAAAGGCATACCTAAGCACTCCAGTTATATTTTCTATTATTTAAAAAAAGGTTAAATATTGCTGTTAATTTTAAAATATTAATTAATGAAATTCTACTGTACAGAATTTCAATATTTTAAAATTTAGGCTTGATTATTCATCTAACGATTTTAAATTAAATAGGGTTCCACTTTCTTTGATTTCTTTCACAAATTATTTTTTATATTAAATAAAAATCTAGTTTGAAGAGAATGTTGAAGCGGACTTTTGGGATAAATTTTGAAACCTGTAAATAGCTTACAAAATACTGAAATGATAAATGCTATAATATATGCCTAAAGGAAAAAAACTTTTTGCAGGTTGCCAGAGATCAAGCAGTTAAAAACTGGGTATTTATGGAGCAGATCTCTTTAGAAGAGCCAGACTATGGCTCAGGTTATCCTGGAGGTGAGACACTCATTTTTGTTTATTCGATTAAGCGTTTTTTATGTTTTTATGTTGTTTTTTTTATCTCCAAACAAAAGACATAATTGTACATGCAAAATTAGACAAGAAAATAGCACATAGAATGTTAAACAGTCAGTCAATTAAAAGCTAAATAATTTTTTTCCTTGACTATGATAATAATTTACATTGCATTTTTCCCACTTTCAGATCCAAAAACAAAAAAATTTCTAGAACAAAGCTTTGACAAAGTTTTTGGGTTCCCCTCATTTGTCCGTTTTAGTTGGTCCACTGCATCTTTGATCATGGATAAGGATGGTGTTGCAGTTCGATGGTAGGAAGTATTTAACTTTGTGTTAATTGATATAAATCTTATTTTCTTTTATTCAGAGAGATTTTTTTTTTCTAATGCGGCTTAAAAGAGGAAAATAGTGTGATATTGCAATTAGATGTTAGGATTACTGTAATTTTATGTAAATTATGTAGGCCTTCTATTATTAAATTTTGCCTTTTTTAATCTTTATAAAGGGAAGATGACGATGAGGATGATGCATCATCACAAGGGACGCCAGCACTCTCACATTTCTTCAAGAAGAAGGACAGCAAGCCAGAGCTCACCAGACATCGCTTCTTTTCACATCGACAGCTGACCCATGTAACATCTATTTAAAAACCATTAAAGTTTTTTTTATTTCACTTGCTTTTAATTCTTTTATAAAACAATTAGCAATTTCTTTTAAAATTTCAAGGATAAAAGTGTTTCTACTAACTTTTAAGGTTGTTGAATAGTTTTGTTGTACCAAAATTATTGTCTCAGTTCTTAACATTTTGTTGTTTGTTTTTAAGGTGCATTCTTTAGTACAGTCTATGTCTAGACAGTTTTGTATTACTCTGGGTTTTGAACTTGCATACAATAAACATTTAATGATGTTAATGACTAGAACAAATATAGATTAGTGAGCAATGTTTACCTCAGACAAAAAAGGTGAGACAGTAATTCACCTATTGTAGTGAGGTGCAGTTGTTACCTCAGACAAAAAAGTTGAGACAGTCAGCGATTTACCTGTTGTAGTTAAGTGCAGTAGTTACCTCAGACATAAAAAAAAGGTGAGACAGTCAGTAATTCACCTGTTGTAGTGAGGTGCAATTGTTACACCAGATAAGGAAAACAGGTAGACTGTTGTGTTTTGAATTTTTTTTATTCCTTAAAACAACATGAGAAACATGATAAATCTACAATAATTTATATATCTTACATATTGTACATATTGGCAAGTTGTGTTATAGAGTATTGTGGTACACTTAAACTGGTGATATCATAAGTCACTTTCAGCCATATTAAAACACATTTATACACTGTTTTGTAAAATAATCATTATTGAAACTCGAATATGGATAGTGAAGTATTTTATATTGATAATTAATAACTAATGTAGAGTTGTAATGGTGCTAATTTTGAAATAGTCTTTGTTATTTCCCTTTAGTTAACTATAATATTTTCGATCTACAAATAACCAAACCCTTGTCATGTATTTTTAAAATGATTAAAGCTATGAACATTGATCTACATAAAGCTGTAGATCCAGATAGTCAAAAAATAAAGACAAATATATACAGATAAGCTAACACACACTCAGTATTATGAAGAGCTATTGTAACAGGCACACTATGTTATATATACAATGGTCCAATCATACGTTGATAAACTAGAGCATAGCACTTGTCCTTGTATTTCATGCAAACATTTCTGGTTTAAACTGGGTAAAATGTGGAACAAAAAGTGCACATTTCTAATTTGTGGTAAATGACAAAGTAATGAATGATGACAGCTGACACAGGTGGGAAGAGTTAGACAAGTTGAAGTGTGTCAGACACACGAGCATGACTGAGGAAGTTTGACAAGAAGACACAGTTAGGACCAGAGATATGTTGTGATCTATAAGACAGGAGTGAAATGAAATCACACAAGTTGGGAAAAATAACTTTGACAGACCGTCAGATATGTGATGTCTTCAAGCTCAGGTCCCGTCTTCAATTTTTGTCTTTCTGTTTTGGTCCGTTCCTCAAGTCTTGTCATTCTGTGTGGCCCATTCCTCAAGTTTTGTCATTCTGTTTTGGTCCAATCTTGAACTTTGGTAATTCTGTTTTTCGTCGATTCTTCAAGTGTCTATTCTATTTAGACCCAATCTTTAAGTTTTGTATACTGTTTTGGTCAAATCTTCAGACTGTAATTCTGTTCTGGTCCAGTCTTCAATGATTTGTATTCTTATTTGGTCCAGTCGTCATGTTTAGTATTCTTATTTGGTCCAATATTCAGTTCTGGTATTCTTAATCGGTCTACTCTTCAGTGTTTTCTTATTCGGTCCACTCTTCAGTGTATGTTTTCTTATTTGGTCCAATAATCAAGTTTATAAACAGTTGTCGAGGAAGAGTAAGATTCGCAGGCTTCACTTCTTGTTTATCGAAAGCGAAAAATAAACAATTCGGACTGTGCTTTTCTCAATTGTTTACATTGTACTGCAGTTTTAAAAAAATCTTAATTTAGTTTTTAAAACCTTTTGGTAATCTCAACAACTGCAGCACATTTTTTTTTCTACGAACAGAAGAACGCCGTATCCAGGTATCATTTCCACAAATGTAATTTAATTACTTGAAATATTGGATATTTTAAAACTTTGGCCAAAGATTAATTAGTTAAATAAGATTAAATTATTAGCTAGCCGTTTCTGCTGACGAGATTTACCGAGGATCGCGTGAGGTCGCTAGTGAGAGAGGCCGCAGACGACGTGGCGTACTCGCTGGTGTCTGGGGGCTCGCTGAGGTGTTGTGGGGAGTCCACCCATCGGGCGCGCTGGACCAGCAACCTGTGGGGGGAGGAGCAAAATTAGTTTCTTCAACCAACTTAGACTGAAGCTATATGCCTACAGCCATTGCACTGAAAACTGTTAAAGTAGGAATAATTTATCAAACATAATTTACTTGTAGGCCTATTTTAAAAACACGTAAGGTGAGAATTGCTCATTACAATAGTAGACTATTCTTTAATAAATAGGGGTGGGTTTTGGGGGCGAAGTATAATTATAATTTTTTACTAATACATATGTATGGGTTATAGATACGTATATTTTAAACTGAAATATGTGTGTAAAACACGACTTACCTCCGTTGTCGGCACAGTATGGATGTGATGAGGGCGGTCAGTAGAAAAATGGTTCCTATGGTAACACCAAGCACCGCAGGCCAGTAGCGCGTGAAGACGGTGCTGACACCTGTGATCGTGTTGTACGGCGACCCGTACCTCTCCACGGGACTGGGCATCAGCCCCACGCTTTCGTCCGCCCGCTCCGTGTGGTTGGCGATCTCAACCTTTGGCGTGTACAGGCCTTGCTTGGGCACGATGACGCTGGGCCCCTGGCGAATGTCCTTGATGTAGTCCCGCAGCTTGTCCAGGTTCATCTTGCGGTGGGCGTTGCTGTATCTGACCCCGGAGTTGACACGTGACAGCTTCACGGAGGGTAACTCTTGTGGGGACTGTTCAGGTTTGATCTTGGCCAAGTTTTTCACAATTGAATGTAGACTGAAGCCGTTTTCTGGTAGAGCTTTCATCTCAAAGTTGAGCATAGGTTTCATTGTACCTCGCCTGACGCTAGATAGTGGGTCACTGAAATCCACTTTGTCATTTTCAAACTTGTCTTTAGGAATGTAGAGTACTGTGTCTGAGATACTTGGCAAATAAGGCAGGCCGTCTTTAAATTGATTCATATCTCTAGATTTACTAGATGGCTCCAGTTTTTTAAGAACTTCGTGGCTGTTTGTTAATTTTGTGTTCACGGTTTTTGAGCTAACTGTATCAGCGGCACTACTAGTTTTATGTTGAGTTGTTGAAGACAAGTTGGCGAGTTTTGAAGTTTTATCATCAAACAATTGAAATACGTCAGTGTTTATTTGTGTGGTCGCTTGATGGCTCCAATGAGTGGTGTCTGGGCGAGTCGAGAAGCTAGAAGATTCTTTCTGGGATGCATTGATTTCCGGTTTCGTTTTGGTGGAGGGAGACGAGGTGGATGTGGGCGCTGAAGTTTCCATGTTGAACAGCGAGAAAGTTCTAGTTGTTGGCGAAGTTTTGGGTGATGTTGATGTCAAAGTTTTGGGTGATGTTGATGTCGAAGTTTTGGGTGATGTTGATGTCGACGTTTTGGATGATGTTGCTATCGAAGTTTTGGGTGATGTTGCTGTTGACGTTTTAGGGGATGTTGCTGTCGACGTTTTGGATGATGTTGCTGTCGAAGTTTTAGGTGATGTTGCTGTCGAAAGAGGTTTTATAGTGGACTTGATAGTGGCCGTAGTTAATGCTGTTGTCCTTTCTTGTTTGTATGTGGTAGTTTCTTCTTTGGGTGGTATCTTTGTCTTTGTTTCTAATGAAAATAGTTCTGGTTTCAACGAGGTTAGTAGTTTACTTGTAGTTTTCTCCTCAGGATAAGTTTCAGTGTTTAGCTTCTTGCTTTCGGTGTGCTTAGATGGATCCTCGAGTTTTGATATGTTTGTTTTGTCTTCGTCCGCCTTTGGGATCGTTGATCTAGAAGCTTCTATCTCGCTGTCATCGGAATAGTTCTGAGGTTTCTCGTCTGTACTTGACCCCAGGAATTTTAGATTGGCTTTGAACAAACTCATCAGATCAAACGGGTCATGATTAGTCTGCAAGTTCTTGTCCGTATCTCGAGATAACAAGATGGACGTCGAGTCGACTTCCGGTAAGTTTTGTGTTGGGGGTACTTCAGAAATTGCAGAGCTCGAGACAAAATCAGACGACTTTGTATCAAACCCTAAACTGGAAGAGGCTGCTGGGAAATCAGTTACCGTCAATGTGTTGATCTCTGAAGTAAGTTTCTTGTTCAGAGTTTCGTAAGATCTGAAATCCTCTTGAACATCACTCGTAAAATTATTGAGTAAAGATAGCACAGCTGTTTGAACTGTTTCCTGTTCCATATTTTTAATAGGGTTTAAAGATGGCAGTGCTTGTAAATTTTTGTGGTGAAGTTTATCGGTTACCGGTGACACTGATGGGTTCATGTTAGGCGGCTTGACTGAAGGGACGGTGGTCAGGTATACAGTTTTTTCTGTCTTCGTTTCGGGGTTATTGTTTTTAGAAAAGTTAAATTCAAACTCTGGTTCTTTTTTATCCTGACTATTTGTGTGGACATCCACAGTCTTTACGTCTAAAACCTCGTATTTGGTTTCTTTTAAATCTCCGGGTACGTTTTTAAATATCTCCGTCTCTTCTTTCATGCGGTAGTTTAAATCTTGATTGTATTGTTCTTGCATGCCATATTCACTATTAGCCGGAGAGTAATCGAACATTTCTTGATCTATCGACTCTATTCTTGCTTTCTCTGAATGTTTCTCATTCTCCATCATTAAATTGTTTATTTTTTCATTTTTTCTTTCCAATGCAGCAGTGGCATTGAGCTCTGCCTGACGCAGCCATTTTGTCAAAGCGTCCTCGTATATTTCAGTAGGTTTTATTGTGGTAGTCGCGTTTTTTCGAGCAGTATTAAAAACTCCTTTAGTAGTTGTATGTAGCTTTACTTTGTCATCTGATTGATGTATGGCGAGTTCATTCATTGGTCTAGAGCTGTCACGTGACTCAATAAGCTTGACGTTTTGTATTGTAGTAAGTTGAGGGTTGGATTTGACTTCCACATTGTCAAAATCTAAAACACTTCTGTATAGAGCTGGTGACTTGTTCCACTTGCTTGATGTGGTTGATGTGGAGGGTGTGGTTGGTCTTGTTGACTTAGCTGATGTGGTTGATGTAGTTCGAGTGGAGCGTGTGGTTGATGTGGAGCGTGTGGTTGATGTGGAGCGTGTGGTTGATGTTGAACGTGTTGATGTAGTTCTTGTAGTCGGTGAGCTTCGGGTGGTTGATGTGGTGCGTGTGGTTGATGTGGAACGTGTTGTAGTTGGTGTGGTTGATGTGATTCGTGTAGTCGGTGAGCTTCGTGTGGTTGATGCTGTTCGTGTGGTTGCCGTGTCTGTTGTATAAAGTTTTGTCTTCTCTGTGCTTGTACTTACAGCAGATTTAATTTCTTCAACGTTCTTTCTCCGCTCGTGGTTTGCAGGCATGTATTTTGTCTGGTCCACTAAAGCCATATTTGAGTGGTCATTGTATCTTCCTGTCGTCTGCTCCTCTGGTTTTGTTACAAACATGTTTGGTTGGTCTTCATCAGCCCCCGTGAAGACATTACTGTTTTGGTTTTGCTGTTGTATGTGGCTTGTTTCAACATTCATTTCTTGAGTTTCTGTTTTTCCCGCTGATTTGTCTGTCGAAACGTCTAGAACCAGCAGTGGTGGCAGAGTTGGGCTGACGTCTGCTACGGAATCTTTGCTTTGTTTATTAAAAATATCGGAGAACATCTTTAGGTCGCTACCGATAAACTCGTCAATGTCGTGGACTTTCTCGCCAAGATAATCAGCTTTAGCCTGAACGACGTTCTTGTTTGATCTTACAGGATTATTTACTTCGCTCAAATCTTTACTATCTTTTATTACTATTTCATCTTTTATTTGCAGGCTTTGAATTTGTTCCGTATCATCACTCCTTACTTTAGTTTCTTTATTCGTCTTTTTCAAGCCAAATATATCAATAAAAGATTCGTCTATCATTACTCCATCAACTTCGTTCTTGTTCATTGCCTCATCAACCATCTTATCTATAATTTCCTTATCTGATTTCTCAGTTGATTTTTCTTTATTCAAACCCAAATATATATCCTCGGAGAAATCTGTTTTCTGATTGTATTGAGTTAATTGAACCGAGAAATCTCTATTGTTACTTTGTATGGACGTGGGAGACGGGTTGTCTTGGAGTAAATGATTTGGGATTTTATTCTCTTTGTTGTCAGCTGTTAGATCGCCTTGAGATTTTACGTTGTTATACTGCGGCCTGCTATACTGTGGTCCTGATGTTGGGAGCTCTGGTAGCTTGAAGGTTGTATCAACATTGTCTTGTGTCCCCTTCACTGGTTGCTTGTTAGATAAATCTGGCTTTTTTGTTGATGACATCGAAGCCAACCATGTAGGTTCCTTAGATACCATTGCTCCTTTTTGTGAGGTATAGGTAGCCTCAGTTTTAGGGGTGGTTGATGCTGGTGCGGGTTTCACGTCGTGTGTGCCGGTTGATTTATCCGTAGTTAGCCAATGTTTTGTTGTTAGAATGGGACCGTTGCGACTTGCAGCGCTGTTGATGGCTATCTTCTGGTCGTTGCTGGGATCCTGGTTGTGCGAGCTCTCTTGGACTGGGGTGGACGTTTTACTTCTGGTGCTGGCTGGAGTTTTCGGGGAACTGGTATGGAGTGGCGTGAAGTCTGTCAGAAAGTCTTCACCGTATGGAGGAGTCAGCATGCTGTCGTCGTTGTCTGTGAACGGTCTCTGTTGGTGCAGGAAAGGTCGCTGAGCTGTGACGTACCACTGTCCAGGTGCAGGGGTCTGGATCTTGACAGACTTCAACATCTTGATGCTGTTGTGGACAAGTTCTCCGTTACTTTTCTGGAATCTTCTGGCATTGAACCAGACTTTTGGCTTCGGGCGTTCAGTGGATTCGACCTTTTCAGAGTTTGAAGTATCGTTACTTGGCCCAATTTCTTTATTTAGAGTTTCGACACTGAAGTCAGATTTGAGAGAGTCTTGATATTCGGAAACTTCAGACATGGCGTCTTTTACTTCAGCTAAATTTTCTGTCTCGCGATTAGAATCTTCATTGAGTGTCAAAGTATCTGGTGTAAAATCCATTGGTGTTTTGTTTTGTTGGGATAGAATAAGTTTAGCATCCATTTCTTTTTGTTTTTCCATATCGCCAAGTGGAGTAGTAGAGATAAACGCCTTGTTTTGATAATTAGATGTAAATTTTTTATTTGTGTTTTCTGATATAACTTCATTATCTTTAACATTCTCTAAATCTAAAATAGTTACATCATTTAATAGTTTATTACTTGATTCTAGCTCCGTAGGTTCTGGTATAGAGTAAGCAGACGACTGCACTAATTCTTTCTCTGACTGCGGTGCTGAGGATACGCTACTTTGATTAATGTTCTGATTGGTAGTTGGAGAAGTAGATAAACCTTTTGTAGATTGCGAGTTTGATTCAGAGAACAGGTTCGATTCTTCTTTAGTCGTAGCTTGTGTGGTCTGAGAACTGTAGGATAGCTGTCCAGACAGCGGTGTAGTGATAATATTTTTATTCCCATATTCAGACTTGACATCATTTATATCTGTAACCAGCTTTTCGGTTCCTTTGTGTTCAGACGTGACGTCATCACTTTCTGTGTGTGTTTTCTGGCTATCAGAACCCATCACTTTGTGTTGAGGTGTAGAAAGTGCCGGGGTAATATGGATGTTATTCTGTGAGTTCTCTAGCACAGCGTTACCTGGTTGGTAGATAAATGGCTGGGTGTTCTGACTGTATGTGCTGGGACCAGCCTTGTGGCTCCCCTCACCCAACGTGTTGTCCATGTGTCCTAAGCTCATGTAAGGCATGCTCTCTGGTTTTTGGACTTTCGTGTCTTTGAGACCAAGAAGTACTAGATCCTTACTCTCGTCAAGTTGAAAGATGGAAGGATTACCCGTTTGAGCTGTCTGGTTAACTTGTTGGTTATTGTCTACACGGCCTTCAGTAGGTACAGGACCTTGATCCTTGTCTTGATTAGTCTCCCCTTGGGTTTTTATCGGATTTTGTTCTGTAATATAAAACGGAAGTTGTGTCGATATTTTCTCTTGTTCCGTGTCCTGTAGCCTGTCGTCTGTTAAATCTTCAGCTAAAGATTGGTCCTTGATTATTTTTGTGTCCTCAAAATAAGTCTTCATCAAATATTCTGTTTGCGCTTTGTTCGTTGTGAACGTTTCAACTCCAGTATCGGTATTAAATGATTCAGATTTAAGAGCATCATTGACGTCGTTCGGTTGCAGATTCTCGTCTTGCGTTTGTTTATCGGCTACTAGCTTATCATTCTTTGCTTTCAGCTGTTTCGCTAACTTGGTTTTGGATGCAGACTTCAACTTTTCACGCCCTCCCATCTTTTTAACCCCTTTATTTCTGGTCGTACTTTTAAAACTGTTTAATTTTTTATTGAGTGGTGCGCTAGAGTCAGTTTCCTTCTTACTATTTAGGCTGGAGATTCCGAAATTATCTGGCTTATAGAAGGTGGACATACTGTTCCATGAACCGCCTTCTTCTGAATCAGTCGTACCGTTCTTTCCCAGTCCAAATTCATGAAATTTAGCTTCGTTTGTTTTAAGGAACATCTTGTTTAATTTTTTAGCCAGATGAGGATCTTTAGCGTCTTGTAAGTTAAAGTTTTCTTGTAGCATCGTGCTAGCTCCATCTGTCTGTGAAGTCTCGTCCTCAAGAAAATCTAGATCAGACGTCTGGGCTAGATCTATGGGAAATGTTGGCAGGTTACTCCCCTTGTCCTCGT